TTAAACGTCCCTATATATAAATAGGCGCACGGCACGTGTTTACCGATCATTGTACTCAGTGCTGCGGTTATAGGATTTGTGCGATAGTGGTAAAATACCTAATTCAATTATTTTTTTTAAACCAAAATTCAATTATTATTGAAGATGCCGCCAAAAACGGTAAGTAATAAAATTGACTGTTAACATAATATTATGTGAGCTTATAGATATTATACGATAACAAATAATAATATTCCCGTATTTGGAATCAACTTTTAAGTTGAACTTAATTCCACAAATAATTTTTAGGAGTCTCCGAAGTTTAAATGACGAAATTTTATATTCTGAAACCATAAATTAACGATTTATCATCAAACGATTTTAACTTTTCAATTATAAATCTTAAATATTCCACTGCTAGATACCCACTCAACTTATCATTTTCTTTAATTAATGAAAATATTATGTTCGTGATATTTTGACTAATTTTAGGCTATTTATAATTTATTTTTATAATCGTTTATAAAACCACTTGTCTTCAGTCAAAAAGTTTACCAATTTAATACAATAGGTATTAAAAAGGTTCTTCATAAGTTTTTACCAAGGATGCAGGATTTTTTGTTATAGACATTTGAAGTTCAAATTTACACGAAATTAAATGTTTAAACACTTTAAACGAAGAATAAAATAATTTTAGTTATTTTGTTGCAATTCAAAAATATTATTCGTATACTTTTATGTGTATTATATTTTATATTCTACACAATGGCCTTTTTAAAATATTTATATTCATTTTAAGCTATTGCCTATTTATACCACAAACAGGCAACAGCCTTCACACCGTTCATCGGTAAGTCGGTATTCACTCAAAAATTAATAACAAACATAATACTATAATATGATATACATATAATATGTACCTATTGACTATTATTATAATAATTAAATATTAATAAAATAAATTCAATGTATTTTATAAAAATAATTCAACCCTATCTAATAGACAGTACTTTCACTTTTTACTAATAGGAAAATAAATAATTAATATAATAGTAGGTAATACAGCGATATTATGGTATCATAAAATATACTTAGTCATATAGCCTATAGGTCATCTTCTCTTAGAATATATTTTTGTATGCAACGGTTTATAATTGAATTGAAATTTAACACATCCATTACAGTGGTCAGTGGCTTACTCAATAATGAGGTATACCCGACACCTGTTCAGGCGCGGATCTAGAGCAAATTTCTGGGGCGGGGTGGGCTAAAATGTTGTTGCAACACAAATACGATGTACTTACATTGATTATGAATACAGTACCTATGTATAGTATTTATCATGACAAAATATTTTGTCATGGTATTTATAATCAATGGTATCGAGACATCAAGTAGTAGTTCTGTGGGGGGGGGGGCTAGCCCCCTGGATTCCTCCCTACAACTATTGTACAGCAGAAAAATCACCTATCTACTTGTAGACTTTTTTTAACTGTTTTATTCCGACTAATACATTATACTTAATTTCACTTATTTTTACGTCAAATAAAACGGTATTGGAGGAAAGACAAATTATTAAATAACTGCACGAAGTACACATGTTTAGTTTTTTTACGGTCAATTTATAAATTATTTTTATCCATGGTATGTAATTCCATGGTCTTCATAAATATTTTTAATGAAAATATTGAATCAAATTATTTTAATAACCATTATGGCTAACCTAATTATTTTTAAACATACGATAAAATATTATAATAAAGTAAAAAATAATGTCCATCAAAATAATCGTTGACTGTCTTGTAGTTGAATAAGAATTAAATTGTTTTAAAAGGTTGTTTAGTATGACACTATGACCTATAATACCTGGAGGGATTCTTCCTTTATAGTGATAATGTATTTATATTTAATAATAATGATGTGAAGTAACGGCATTGTTATTATTTACTTCTAATAGACGTATTACGAGAATAGAACAGTCATATTTGAGTGGTAAATTGACTAAAGTCTAAAATATGTTCATTAAATTACTTTTTTTGTAAATAATATTATGCTATGTAAGCTTAAGTTTTATTTTTATGTCATATAATGTATTTATATTTTACCAGTTAATGTACCCACGACTTATACATATTATGTTAGTGCAATTTATAATTGTTCAAACTTTTAAATATCAAAATGATAATGATAAGTGTACAACAAATAAGCTTTAAAGTAATATACATTAATATAAATGAAAATAGTACGATTAATTAAGAAAAAAAATCTTGGTTTACTGCAAAATAAGAAAATCGCTACATGAGAAATCGATTGAATATCCAATGATGTAAACATTTTAATTTCAAATGCTCATAAATACTTAACTCGAATTTCCGGTAGACATTTTTTTTGATAAAGATGGACAGACGTTTGAGGAATCCATTATTACATTAACAAATCTTAGATTGAAAAAGAAAATTTTTTATGAATTTCTAATTCAAATGTATAAATTAGCATATTTTCATGATTTTTACGTATATTGTCCAAATTCGAATTTGAATTGCTCGTAAAATAAATGTGTGACTGTATTTTTAATATTTTTCAACTTCAGCTATTGTAACAATATATTAGGAGCCTTGTATTAAATTTTCAATCTTCTTTACGTAACGAATACAATTTTATTAACATTTATAGAAAAACTAAAATTAACACCAAAAACCAAACTTTTTTTTTTGTCCGAAACCAATTTTGCTTAAGAATTCCTGTTATTCCTTACTTTATTAAAATTTTTATTTTTTCCATGCGGTTTTGAAAACAACTGGAATTTTAAATTTTGAAATGCCCATTACAAGTGAAAATATTTTCAAAACGTTGTGCTGTAAGGAAAATGCTAATATAAACATTCAGTGAAAATTTCATGCTTCGCTTGTTATAGTGTTACACCAAAAACCAAAATCTATTTTATCGTAAACCGATTTTGAGGAAAATTTCCCGGTTTTCCCTAATTTATTTTGTTTTTCCTGGCACTACCGGGAATTTTGTTTTTTTGAACCTCCAAAGTACCAACTAGTCACTAGATTCACTTTTCTATCAGAAAAGATACTGTTTAAGAAAACATGAGCATTTTTACTGTCCTAAAACATGATTACAGACACAAATAAAAAAAATTTAAAAAAAACACACATCGTTGTAAAATCAAAACATTCATCGCTCCGCTTAGAATCTAAAATGTGTACTTTAAGTAGTATTTTACAACTGGAAAATAATCAAAGTAATATAATGTTGTCTCTGTTAATTTAATTGATCAATATATTATGATTATCTGTTTACGTGTAACCACTTAACTTAATACATTTTGTAATAACGAAATGCATTATACAGGCTAATCAGAACAAAAGATCCGGAAGAATGGCTAAAAAGGGTGGGCAAGCGGTGCTTCAAGAAGAAATAAATAGCGATGATGATTGGACGAAAATTATAGAAAAGCCGGGAATGTATGGTAATAAAAATAAGAAAATAATATGATAATAACCAAAATAATCACAATGTTTATGTTTATTATATTACTAACTCGTTTGTTATTTAGTCGTTGACGTTTATACAGAATGGTGTGGCCCTTGTATACCAATGACGGCATACTTAAAAAAAATCAAGTTGGAATTAGGAAGTGAAAATCTACATTACGCTATAGTAAATATTCTCTGCCTTTAAATACGATTATCTTGTACATTGTACAATAAATTCTAGTTACTATAAAAACAATTGAAGTAGATAATATATGTAGGCATGCACCTACCAACCCATATATATATATATATAGTTGAAATGGATTAAAATGGGTTGATTCCTAGATACCTAACTGAATAAGTTAGACATTAAAAGTCTTAATTTATTTAATATTGTACAGATTTTGAAGGATCTTAAATAATAAATAGTTGCTTGATTATGATAATCAAATTCTAGGCAAAATCTGACAATATAACTGTGCTAAAAAGGTTTCGACAAAAGAGTGAATCCCATTGGTTGTTTTTTTATGTAAGTATATTGACTATTAAAACAATATTTGGTTGATATCGTTGACTATAACTGTTTATTTTTCATTATTAATTATTGAAAAGGATGGGCAATTGGTCAATATCACTATTGGCACCAATGCTCCTAGGTTAATGCAATTAATAATGGAGGAGTTGGAACAGTATGTTAAGTTCAAAAATGGTGAAGTCCAGAAAGAGTTTGTGAGTACCTATATAATAATATGTAATTCGTATTTTACACATGGATACCACAAACGGTGTTGAGCATACCCAAACACAACATTTTTATAAATTAAGATACCGCTGACTCAAGTGACCAAAGAGGAACAAAAAAAATTAAATGACAGTGAAAACTATCAAAAACAAAAAACAAGAAAAGAAAAAAAAATTAGAGGTTTGTATCGTTATGTTTTGACTTTTGATAATTTTTAATTATATGGAAATTGGATACATATCTACGACTTATTTTTTGATTATTTAATATTTAATTGAAAAATGTATTCAATTATTAATATTTATATCAATATCATACTTTATTATATTCATAAATCTGGTTGTGGAAATTATACTGCAGACACCTGTTGGACCTGCTACCCCTTATGGCCTTATCAATCTCTTTTTGCAGTTATAGTTATCGAATAAATAATATTTATATTCATGTATATTGTATGCTGTATACATTTTATATAGTCCGGTTCAGTGTGTGTCGTTTGTACCACATACCCATACATAATATAAACATTTCATTTAACAATTTTTCAGAACATTATAATATTAATTTCATGTACATTAATAATTTGTTATAAAATTGTTTCAAATTAACCTAGAGCGATGAAACAAATTAATGTACAGTGTAACCAACATGTTTGATTGACGGTGGTTTCAATAGAAGACCACTATGAAGAATCTCATAAAAAAATAACAAATAATAACAATAAAGTAGTTTTTTTTTGTATAACATCACAATGAGTAATGACTCTCAAATGGTTAATAATTTAAGATTATAGAATGATGAAAAAGAGAGAACATTCTCTGAAACAGTTTTCGGTCAACATTCAAATGCAGACGTGTGTCATGTTTTTCCCTCACACGGTCAAGTACATTATGGTGGAAAAACCAATTGAAGATGACGCTCAAGAACTCGATAAACCTCCCGAACCCGTGATGGTAGAAAAAAGGGTGTGCGAGGTGGCCAACTCGTGTGCTACTAAGTACGAGGAACTTATTGTTATTGAAGCTAAAGATGTGGAGTTGACGGAAGACAATTTGAACGAGGTATGTTAACTTTTTTTTGAATATACTTGCCAGTAAAAATGTCCGAAAACGTTGAAAAATTACTCAAAACGCATTAATTGTTACAAATGTTTTCTACAACAAAAGTTCTGTGGGCATTTCGGATGTGGAACAAATATATTATTAAGGAACAAACTTCATTACCTACCATTTTTCGTAACTAATATTCGTATTCTAATTATTTCTAGATCAAAAATTAGATATCATTAATTATTATTAATTAGATATTTTCAACTTTGCGTATATGATTTTTAAAAAAAATTATCAACGTTGTTGCTTAGGTAATGTTGTGATACTAATCATCAAATATTTTTTTTTTATGCTGGGGTAATTTAGTTGCTGTTTTCTTTATCAACACTTAGATTACCCAAGAAATTATCCATACTTTCTGATAGTTTAAATCAAAAACGTTAATTTTTTTTGCTATGTAAAATCGATCTGGATACATTTTTTTAAACATATATTTGTTTTTTGTTTTTCTGACTGATTTTTCGTAAGGTTTTCCTTTTCACGGTTACCTATTATTTATTAACAAAAACATACTAATTATGATTCATAGATTTTCCTTGTAGAGGACAAATATCTAGTAGAGTTTGGCCATCACAGCTGCAATTACGTTATGGCAACCCCACAATAATAGAGATTAATTTTATGTTTATATTCAATTAATGTCATGACGTTATAATTTTGCGTTATAGTACCTATAATAGTTTAACCTTAGCAACCCATACACAACATGATTAAACAACCAATTTCGCTTTACAGTACCTACATTGCAGCTAGCGAGTAGCAACTATACTGAATACTGATGTTTAATAATATGATTAAGTACCTAACCATACCAACCTAATCGGTAGGTATCTATAATATATATATATATATATTTTTCATAATTTTTAAAACATATTATTATGCATGATTAAATGATGATCCATGCAGCGGAGAAAATAATATCAAGTAGTACTATACTCGTTTTTACTACCTATCAAGTATCAGTACCTTGAGGCCTAGTGAAGTCATCCGCTTGTTCGGAGGTTAGCTTAAATTGAAAACATTCCGATGGATTTTGATCTATAATAATTGTAGTTGGCAGTTGACATAACTGAAACTGTCTAAAACATTGTTGTTGGGTCATCAGAAGTAGTTGGAGATGACCAACATGTAGTTATTGGTCTATGAGATGTAGTATAGTCGGTGATAACCAACCTTATTGTTAACCACAGATCAAACAGATTTAAGAACACATTTGTGTTCAAGATGTTGAAAATATTCCGACTTGTTATATTATCCAGGGAATTATTCAATTATTTAAAACGTTGGAGAAACTGATAAGCTATAAATAACTAATAAGTAAAATGATAGGTATTAGTATATTGTATGCCTTTACTAAATGATTGTAATTTTATACATAACTATACCTTTAGATTGGAATAATTATAAATTAATTAATTTGTTGCATCCGTCAATATTTTAGTTGTTTTTTATGGAAAAAGAATTTTTGGAAAGTTTTCCGAAAGAATTGGTCGATCAACTGTTGAGTAAAAAAGTGTACTCGGTAATGTTGTCAATGCCAACTATAAAACAAGACACCGCAGCCCAAGAAGCCGTGCAGACAGAAGACGAAAATCAGCCTGAGCCCATCGACTTAATGGGAGTAATAGAGCAGAAGTTAAGCGCAATAATTTACGGCGACGGAACGCCATTATGCCCTAGTCCGAATTCGTAAGTACCTTAACTATCAATATGTGCCTAATACTATTGATTATAATTTATAAATACTAGTATAGTGTATAATCAATGCTAATACGTATGTGTGTATATGCATTAACGTAACCTTTAAGTAAAATTATATTCACATAGAATTATATTATAATTGTAATAGGTAGTCTGAATTGAATAAAATAAGTATCATTTAAATTTGAATATACAAATTTACAAAACTTCAAAAAAATACTTGTGTGTCTCAACTCTTAGTATATATGCCAGAAGTGAAAACTTAAACTAATAATTAATTATTATTTGTCTGTGTACCTACCTACGCCCCACCTACTTACTACCTATACCTACCTAATATATGTAATACATTTTTTTTATAATTGTATAATATAATATGGACATCAAAATCATAATTATTTGATGGTCATATAGTTTACGAATAAGTCTGAAATTGTATAATAATAATAATTAGTTAAGTATAAATCATGTATAGATATAATATATTAAATACTGTATACTGAATATTCGTATATTTGTATAGCGTTCAAGAACCAAACGTAGACATCAAACACTTTATTAGAATTTAGAATATTACTTATTATATAGTATAGCGGTCTTGTATGATCTGACTTAGAAAAATAGGTTTAAATTGCTTTACGAAGGTAGTGACCCTATTTATTATAGGCTTGCAGATGTACATAAGAAAGTAAATAAATCCGGACAAATTTTACCATCGATTTATACCCCAAGAAATCCGTTGAGCAAAGCTTCGGCGCTGACCATTTTGTTCAGCAAATTCTGCCAAAACAATGGATACGTAGCACCCCTGCCACCTTCACCTCAGGTTAGAAAACTATTTTCATTACACGTTTTAGTTTTCTATATTATACTACACAAACGCCGATACTGTTTGTCGTACTTTTTTCATCACACTGCATGGTCTCGTTAAGGCGCATTCTCAAACTAAACTTTGACGTACCAGCATTTTGTATACACATTAACGGATGCATCATTTGATTGCAGTACCTTGTCATTTTCGATATCAACAAATCCAACATCGTGTTACCCATCATCGAGGATCTTGAAGAAAAAGTCGTCTATTACGGGTTTTTCCGTAGCGCCGATCCCGAAAAACCCAAACTACTCTGCAAAGATCCCGAATTGTTAGCTACATATGGCATGGACAGAGTTGGGTAGGCATTCAACTTTATTATTATAATGTAAATAAATATACATTAAGCATATTATATACCTTATATCAATTAGAGACTATACGAACATATAATATTGCAAATTAAATCTACACTTGTACAGTCAATTCGTTTTCTGTTGCAAAATGAAAGCAATAACACTTGAGCGTTTTTCTGAAGTGTCAATAAAGTCAGATCGTATCTATGGAATAATAAGTGAATAGTATTAAAGTTTAGTAAATTATTTTAATTTTCATACATAGTAAATTACTCGATTTTCATCTCCCGCTGCACACATCAAGATCGGTTGAACAACCTTTAAAATTAAAAAGTTAGTCGTCTACAAAATAATTAATTAGGACGTTGAATATTTGTATAATTTACGCAGTTTTTGTTTATGCATTAAAATTTAAAACACGTGTTCGACGTTTCTTCACGCACTCACGCATGTGATTGGCCGACCAGTGGTTTTTACTTTCTTGGATTTAAATATGGAATTTAAATTGAAAAAAATTATAAATACTAATCCAGACTTTTATAAACCATATAGGTTTATAGCAGTGTTTCCCAACCTTTTTACCACCACGGACCACTTCGACAATATTTTATAGGTCGCGGACCACCTCAATTTAGTACAGTCAATTTACTCATTAACAAGAATACACAAAACTACTTATCGGTCGTCGGCAGAAACAACGATAAGATAACCGTATATTACGGTAAAATAAAATATTTTTCGCTGTTTAAAAAAAAAAAATAATTTTTAATAGAAAACTAAGAAAGGTACCGCGGACCACCTATGACTGGCCCACGGACCACTGGTGGTCCGCGGACCACCGGTTGGGAAACACTGGTTTATAGGTACAATATTATACGACACACGATTTATTTAAATATAAAAATTGCCATCCGAACATATACTATTTGAATCGATTAAAATGTAATATAATTTTAATGAAATAATATCTGAACATTTAATAATTATAAAAATATTCCTAGGAATAGAAAATTTAAAGTTTGTATATAAAATGTGCACCGAAAATAGTTTTCTAGATACTATCGACTGTTGACACTGTTTGTACACTTTCTAAAACTGTCGGTATACACGAATTATGGACTCTAATAATATGGTCTGAGTTTGATCATGATTTATCTCGTGATGATGATCGCAGAAGTCATCATTTGGTGCATAGTATTGTTGGTTTACCAATATAATATAAATATGGTATAAGCCAACACGCACAACGCGTGTGGTTTGTAGTAACATGCAATCCCTAAACTTTAATACTTACCTAAATATTTGATAACTTAATGGACATGCGTAATTTCACTCCAAACATTTTTACGCTAGTCGTTGACTCTATAAGTTGTGTTTGAGTGTTTCCCAGATGTTAAATATAATATGAGACACAACAGATACATTATTTTTTTTTAAATCAATAACTACAACAGACTATAATAATCGTTGGTTGTGTATGTATAGTTAAAAATTATACCTATTTAAAAAATATTAATAAGGATACGGAGTTGTTGTTGGGAAATGGGGATGAACACAGCGATGTCATGGGTGAGACACTATACTGTATATAATATTAAACGCATTTTCAGTTTTACATTTTTTTCTTTTATAAAATCTTTGCCTTTGTGATAGTAATTAATTGTTTTAAACTGTTTATTTTGTCCGTATTCATATTATAACAAGTACCTACCTACATACATTGCACTTTTTTCGCGCAGCAAAGACGCCAAATTGGTGTTGTCTGTGCTCATGGACGACAAGGATAAGAGTCTGTTGCGGTTCGTTGACGTTGGGCCAATTTACGTGAGTCCCGATCACGAGGCGGGCATCGACGATGCTATTAAGTTTTTCCCACACGACTTCGACGAGATGGACGGCGAAGTAAAGTTGTGGCTAGTCCAGCAGGAGGTCCGAGACGAGGAAACTACGGGCGTGGACGTCTTGGGTGAAGGTGAAGAAGGAGTGATGGAAGAAGAGAATCCACCACCGGATCAGCAACAGGAACCAGCGCAGCCGACCGTCGTCGGTTAATATTTTGTCCAATATTTAGGCACTCATGAGTTTCTAGAATCAAACTACAATCTCCAGATTCATAAACAGAAAAAAACAGTTCGCGCCTATTTCTAATCGAATATTTTTCGAAAAAAATATTTAAATGAGTATTATGTCTATTATGATTTATGGTTAATTTTTCCTTAATCCCAAAAGTAGTTGTGACACATTTTGGAATCGATTTATTTGGATTCCTAATACGAAATAAAAGTATTCTCTCCAAGACTGTTCCATAGCAAACGTTTTGTAATGTTCTATACACAATAAAGTACCTAAATTGCCAATGTTTGAGCACCCATGGGGTTTTATTGCAAGCTCGATCATTTCCAATTGAATACATTTTCCCAAACCACAAAAGTAGTTGTGACGAAACACATTTTTGGAATCAGTTTATATTTTGTATTCCTCATACAAAATAAATGTATTCTTTAGTCTTTACAATAGTTTACATGACTGTTCAATAGCAAACGTTTTGAAAATAATATTATGTTCTACACAATAATGTACCTATATTGCCTATACATTTCGCCGTGATATAATATAATCGAAAACAGTATTATACTAATTATAATTTGGCAAAATACAAAACCCTGCAACAACCAAAGGTAAGATTATTGTCTAGATAACCTCATGGGCTTTTTATTATATTTTAAATTTAAAGCGAGCTATGAGTATTTTAAAATTGTAAATTGTTTGTACATTTTAAAATACTCATAACTCGCTTAAAAGTTAAAATATAATAAAAAGCTGATGAGGTTGTCTGGATAATAATCTTAACTTTAGATTTTATAAGAGGTCAATTTACTCTAATTTTTAAATTAACTACACTTGTTTAGCTGAGCGTAAAATTTGCTGTCATGCACTTTGTAAGACGGGGACAACACATGTTGGTATCGTGTCCTATTAACTGGTACACTTTGTAAATTATTATTATTTTACTCACCGGTAAACCGCTCGGTCGGAACCGTGTGCGATATGTACCAGTTTCCTGTATTTGGTATTATTGTTTATTATAAATAACAGGTGTTAATTATTATTTTTACTCTGACCGAATTTTATGCCAGTCGGTTTTCTCGGCGCCAACACAATTTATCATTAAAATAAAATTAACCTATTTTACCCCAAATTGACGTTTTTCATTTCATTGCTGGTCACCCATATTACTGATCCAAATGTATCCCGTTCTTATTAAAATAATATTTAAAAAAAAAATCCACTGCATTCCGGCTTTCGGTCGGCGATCGTAAACATGTCTGAGGTGGCCACATGACTCTCGATTCATGAGAGATATGATGTTCGAGCAGTCACAACCGTCAATCTCAAAATCCTTAGCAACCATTAATGAACAAATAAAACACTCTTTGCTATTATAATCTGCGACCATTTATAAACAAATACAATTTAAAATTCCACCGTCAATCTCAAAATCCCTTTTTGAGAACCTCTTAAAAATGCGAATTCTGGAAAATCCTTTCTTAGTGGGTGGTGTCTACGTCACAAAACAAGACTGCCTACTGTACAAATTTCATACTCATAGCTTCAACGGTTCCGGATAGGCGATGATGAGTCACTCAGGACAAATCATCATACAATATATAGATAATACTATGGCTATAATATGAACTGCGGCACCCGAGATTGCAATGACGTGTCATCTCAGCATTTTTGCTTCCCTTATAAACATAACTAGGTATACTTAAATTACAGTGTGTGCAATCTTACGTAGGTACCTAACTAATCATGTGTACTGTTTAATTTCAACAGATATGCTCATTTGAACGGCTGCTCGTGAGTCGTGGAGAGGGTCATTTCACTTTGTATTGAAGGGGGCAGGGGTTTTGACCGGCCCGAATGGGTAAAAAAAGGGAAGGTACTTGAACGGGTGCTCGTGGGCACACTGGTGTCCGTGGAATGCAGGTAAACGGACGTTTCGTCCCCGGCAATTATTGAGATAGGACTTTTCGTCCCCGGCATACTTTGATAATCTAAATACATTAATTTTTAATGAACAATTTAATCTTTAAATGACAATACTACAAAATATACAAATACTAATCAATATTCATACAATAAAATTACAAATAGTCAAGATTTAAATAAATCACAATTGTATTAAGTCAACACAAAATGTAGTAAAAATTAATAAATTCAAATTAAATACCTACTATAATATTAAGATAAATTATATATTTATTTTTAGGTCAACTGACTTATGTTTTTTAAATAGTATAAAATGTAATTATCGTCATTATATTGAAATCCCGTACAATATTATGATTGCAATTTCTTTTCCTTGATACCAACTATTTTCGGTACATTTAATATTTCATTTTGTTTTTGTACCAATGCAGTCGCTCCAGACGCATTGCACATCTGTACCACAGAACAATGTTAAAAATAAATGTAGTAAAATATGTTAGTAAAATAATGAACTTTGAAGTAATTAATAACCTGAGAACCGAATGTCCTATACCTAGTGAAAATATGCCAGGGACCAAACGTTCTATGGCTAATAACTCCCAGGGACGAAATGGACTATCTCAATAATTGGCGGGGACTGGTTTTTTTGACGGGGGCGAAACGTCCGCGATTTACGTGCAGCCATGATGCTCTGGATGGGCACCTCATAGATTTTACAATGATGTTTTTTTTCTGGCCAGTGATCACGTTTTAGGAAAGTAAAAATACTTAATTTTCTTCAGTAGTATCTTTTCTGATAGGAAAGTGATTCTATAGTTGGTACTTTAGGGGGTCAAAAGTACAAAATTCCTAGTAGCTTAGGAAAGCACAGGGATAAGAAAAATTAAGGAAAAACGGTAACTTTTAGTGTAACTGTAAGTTTTAGTGTAACTCTAAAATAAATGACCAATGATACACCCAATTTTCACCTCTTGTTTATACTACCATTTACTATACAGCAGTGTTTCCCAACCGGTGGTCCGTGGGCCAGTCATAGGTGGTCCGCGGTACCTTTCTTAGTTTTCTATTAAAAAATATATTTTTTTTTAAACAGCGAAAAATATTTTAAGTAGAGTACAGTAAAGTTTAGTACAGTAAAATATTAAAAATTTTTCAATAAATTCGTGGGTTGGGAAACACTGCTATACAGGATAACATTTTCAAAAAATATTGAACTGTTTAGTGTTTTGTTGGGTAAACAAACTTGAAAATTTAATAATATTATATAATAGTAATTTTGTTTTTTTTCTTATATTTTAGTTATGTTAAACTCTCATTTTAATTTGTTTGTTTTGTTTTTAAATTCATTACTCAAAATTTATAATGTATTCTCTTTAAATATTAAGAACCGTGCCCCCAACACAAGCTTCGCTTATAGGGGGTACTGCAATATCTAACTCTAATTTTTGTAAATATTGTATGTTATAGTATCTATTGTTGCAATAAAGATTATTATTATTATTATTAAAATACAATGAATACAATTGATATAATATTGATACAATTGTTACAATGACAATTGAAAAATATTAAAAATCCAGTTACAATTATTTTTTTAAGCATTTATAAGCTAAACTTTATTTACCAAACTATTTTGAGTTAAAAATTCATGGTAAATTTTCTTTTTAAATCTAAGATTTTAAAATGTAATACAAGATTACTTATAACTTATAAGGTTATATACTCTTATAAAAAAAAAATGTCTAAGAAAGTCAAATTCAATATTATGATTGTTTGAAGTTCAAATGTTTACAACATTGGCATTGTAATTCAAAAACTAATAACCGTAGACACTTGAGATTTATATCATATGTTTACTTTATCAATTTCTATACTTGATAAAATTTTCAAAATATTTTGAGCTGTTTACCAATAATTTTAAATTTCAATGACATTTTATTTAATGGGTCAAAAACCCATTAATACAAGGCTCCTGATATATTCTTATAACAGACAATAGTCTATATTTAAAAAATATTAAAAATAAATAGGCATAATTTTTAATGTAATAATTAATATTGTACTTTATTGTTTTTCTCTATAATTATTCTGTTTTTGTATATTATTTTAACAATTGATTGTTGTTATTATTATTATTATGTATGTAATTGGGCCTGGCCCCTTTACAACTTAAATAAATAAATAAGTATTTAAAATTCGATTTTTGACATTTATCAAATTTAAAATTAAAAAATTATTTTGTAGTTAAAAATGTATAAAATGTTCAACAGTTATAGTTAAGGATTGAAAACTTACAACAAGGTAGAACATAAGTAGATTATTCTGTAACCAAAAAATCTCAAAAATATGAAAATACTGTTTTTTTTATAGTTATTTTATGTTCAAATTTGGAGGAATATTAAATAACCAAAAATAACAATGAACCGCCTATAGTTACTCTTAGGTACAATCAAACCCTCAGGTGTTGTAAAATATTTGCTCCCAGTAGATGACAAGACAATGTGACTACTAGCGATTACAACTATACCCGACGTACTCTGTACAACAAGTAAATAAAAATTAACAAAAATTTGTAATTATAATATAACTTTTTATTAATTTTTATATTCTTACTATGAAAACCAAATTGTATTTATTTATCTTAATGATGCCTTCTCATGCTTAAATCTTCATTTTGTCTTCTGATATATTTTTCCCTAAGTCTAAATCCTTTAAATCCACTCCTTCATTTCCCATTCTTGTGTTTATATCAAATATAATGTATTCGGAAAGGATCATTTTTAATTTTTTCTTCACGTTTAAATTAAATGCTTCTTCCCTAGATTTAAACAAATCATGTAACTCAGAAAACCAACGAAAACCAAACTCATTTGGGCCACCATCTATACTACCTATAAACTGATAAGTTTTCACTGCAACAAGGATGATCTGAACTAAAAAAAAAAAATATTTTAAAAATAAATTATATTCAGACCAAAAACTCATCAAATAAAAAATATTAAGTGTAATATTAATACCTCATCAAAAAGAAACTTCTTTTTGAAAAATGTTTCAAAACA